TTTCCATGTAAATAAAGATTTTTTACCATGTAAATTATTTTTTATCAGTGGTAATGAAACAGTTACACGATAAAGTGTTATTTACTTTAAATAGTTTTAAAATTTACTATTTACTTAATTTATTTAAAAAATCTATTATTTACTACAATTTCCATACCATCATTTTATGACCGTCTAATTATATACTTGTACCATTTTATGTGTAAATTAAGGGACTTTTTCTAGTGTTCTCTCTTTTTCAAGAACATTAGTGTTTTCTATTTATCAATTGTTGAATCTGTATTAAAGCTGGTCAAGAGTTAAATTAGATTGAAAAAATAATGTGAATCTAACGGTTGATAAACATGAAATACCGGTGTCCTTAAAAGAAAAAGAACACATGTATCCTTATAAAAAAGAGAACGAGAAATTCTCGTTAATTAAACTCAAACCTTTTCACAAACACAATATATTCAAATAACTATCTAAAAATGATATTTCTCTAATTTATCCGACATTGGATTTCGAAACAACTCACGAGTTGAGAGCTTCCAACAACTTGAGATTCTAGCTATGCGTGAAAAAAAAAAAAAAAGAACGATGAGAAGCTTTAAGATTCTAGTTAGGAAAATAGATGACATAGATATTATCAATTCAAAGGCAGAGAAACTGCATTTGCTACCTGTTTGGTGTTGCAATCTAATCCAATAGCTACTATTTTTTTTTTATTTAAATCTTCTTGAGGAAAGTACTCTGACTCTCAAATCAAATAATAAGAATTTTTATGGACGTTTAGTTCATAAATTCATAATCATGATTCAGAATTATTCTCGATTTACACGTGTTTTCTTTTAAAAAAATACTGTAACGAGTTACAAACTATAATTTAAACTATGACACGGATTTTTACTCTAAACGCGCGCTTCATATCAGAAAAAACAAATGACTGCCTATCTCCCTAAATTCTCTCTCTACTTATAAGCGTTGGGCACCGTGAACGGTTCAGATTTGGTTAATCTTTAATAAATTGACCTCGGCTTTTAATTTTATTATGATAATTCGTAGTATTTCAACTTATATTGGTCTATCATTTAAGTTGAACATAGTCGTTTTTCGTGCTTCTTTCTATTCACAGCATCACGTTACTAAACATGTCGTTTTTCGTATGGGACATTGAAGAAGAAATGCAAAACATAAAAGCAAAAATCGCATAATGCATGCAGAAAAAAAAAAAAGAAAAAAAGAGAGTAACGACCAACTACCAAAAAAAAGTTCAATAATTGAAAACTGAATGGTGTTTTAAATGCAGCATGATTCCATAGCATTCAATGGCAATGACAAAAACGACAAGCGGTCGGCTAAAACGCCGCGTAGCTTGTTCTGTTTATATAGGATCAGCGGAAAGCTTGATTTTCAACACGGAGAATTAAAACTCATTAAAGTCTATTTATTATAGGACAACAAAAATAGGGCTAAAAAAGAAGGGACTTTTCTGCTACGAAAATATACTGATAAGTCAAGTTTTTTAACCGTTAGATTTACATAAAATTACGTAAAAATTAAAAATATACATATCTAACAATTAAAAAATACACAGATCTAACCGTTAAAAAAATTTAATTTTCTGGTGTACCTGCGTATTAGAGAATCTCTCAATAAGCAATTTATTGGGCATGTATTTTGTATATAAAGTTTTATTGGGTGAGCCATTGACCATTCGTCGTAAATTACAATCCTTTCTCTCTTAACGCCATTAATTTCAATTTCAATATTAATATTGATTCGACTTTTTCCAAATCAACCACTATATAAACAACATTCATAAATATATATATATATATGAACTGTTTTTGAGTAACTGTATTAGTTTTTTGACCGTTAGATCTAATTAAAATTAAATGAGATTGAAACAATATGTAGAATAGATAATTTTTAATACATATCTAATAGTTAAAAACAGCTAAAAAAAAATAAAACTACCATAGTTTTATTTTTCTAAACCTACAGGAAAAACTCTCATATTTATATATGAGAAACGTCACTTATATATAGTCTTCAATTGAAGATATATCAAACAGAAAGGTTGGCAAGAAGTTCTACAATGATTGCCGAACTTTACTTTGGTACACAATGTAATAATAAATGGAACCTAACTTCTACAAAGAAAAGCAAAAGAGTACTTCTTTCTCTCTCTCGAGTAATGCAAAACAGAACTTAGGTGGAAGTAAAACCAATATGCCACCATTTGTCTTTGATCTCTCCTGGAAAGAAGTATAAAAACAGGGCAAAGGCTTTGGTCCTTCCCAAAGGTCTGTTCCCAGTCCTACATATATGTATTTGTTTCCTATAATAATGACTTTGGGAGGTCTAAAAAAAGTGCTTATCCCATTAATATTTACATTTCTTTCTTAAAATTATTGTTGCATAGAATAAATATCATTTTATATTATACTGTAAGGCCCATCTTTCATGAAAAGTCTAGAGGCGTTAATTCAGAACCAATACGACCCAAAGCCACTGATAGTGAAATCCCGACCAAGTCCAAAAAAGAAAATGATCTAACCCACCTTAGAATATGATTGACTCAATCCATCCATTTAGCCCATTACATTTTATACTTAAACCTTTGTCTGGGGTTTCAAGGCGCGTCAAAATCAGATCAAAGTGTTAGGTTTTAGGCCGGCCCGTTTAACCTGACTGAAATTAACACCACTAGAAAGGTCAAAGATAAACCTTAAAAGCAAAAAAAAAAGTTACTTCAAAGGACACTATAACTAGAGAGCAAGGATTTGGAATTCTTCTAATTCCAACTTGTATTGTCATGTAAAACGACTTGGCATCATTTTATATCAGATTCCAGGAGATTAAAAAGTTATGGGTAATCTTGATAAATACCCCTTAAAAGTGTATGAATCAGAATTTTTACTTTTTATTCTTGATTCATAACCTTTTTAGTCAAATAATTATACTAATAAAATGATATTTATCAAGAGTAAAGAGTAAAAGTTCAATACATAAACTCTTAAGGATAAATTTTTTATTTTTTTCAAAAGTCAAGTCATCGCATGAATGCACAAATATTATTTTAAAACTTAGAAAGATTTAGTACATATTTGATTCCCACGAGTAAGGACCACATTATGTTAAAGACCTGAAAGTAGGTCTACTAGTATTTTTTTTTTTTACCCCTTTGGTTGCTGGAACTAGAAGTTGGTGTATTACTATACGCTAGAGCCCATATCATGGCGTTAAAATTAGGGAGAAAGAGAGAAATATGCTAAGACTTGAGATGAATTAAAATTAATAGGTCAATAGTTTACATAAGTTAATAAATAGGCTAAATTACTGTTTTTGTCTATAACTTGTCTGGTTATAAATTATAACTTGACAAGTTATTGTCCATAAATTATGGTTTTTGTCCATAACTTGTCTGACTATGAATCATAACTTGACAAGTTTGTCAATAACTTATTTGGTTATGAACTATAACTTGACAAATTATGACTTATTAATTTCTATAACTAAAAATTGACCTATAAGCTTTTCATATTAGCCTATTTTATATTAACAGGACTACAATCTTGATTTAACATATATAATGAGCCTATTGGAAACTTGCATTATAGTATTCAACCTCTCCTTTTCCTTTGTTAGTTATGTGGATATTCTATTTTACAATGTTTAGATTCTCATATTCTAACATCAGATTCCTTATAAAGCCCTCTGAATATCATATAGCAATGGAGGTCAGGTGGGTACTGGTCTTTTTTTTTTTCTTTTTAATTAAAAAAAAAATTTATTATTATTATTATTATTATTATTTTTGGGGCGGGGGGGCGTGATAGGTATTTTAGAAAAGCTGTTGCGTGATCTTCAATTGTCACATCTCCACCAAGCAAAATCCACCTTCGTTAAAAGCAAAGTGTGGACTGTGGACCTCATCGCTTCTCCACCAACCCTCCCAGAGCAGCAAGTGCTGAAATATAAACCCCTTCTGACCCTCAATCCTCAATTCTTCAACAAATATAGGTATGTATATACACATGGATATTGACACAATCTATCCAACATAACATGTAAAACTTAACGTGATAATCGCTGAATATAATATTAATTATTATATCTCTTTAATGTTAATATTTTTATTTATTTATTTTATATAAGACGGAATTAAATCCGTAATCTCTCTTTAAACCCTCCAATTTCACTAGATCAATAAGTCTTCGGCTGTAAATATTATATTTATGACTATCATGTTACTTTTTTCTTTGCTAGATGTTACGTTTTAGATGTACCATAACAAAAGGCTATATGTACATACAAACATATATATAAAGGATGGGCTAGATACGAGGTTTTTGAGCATACTTGAGTTTCCCATTCTAGGATGTTTCTACTTCAAAAACGCTCAAAAGGAAATTCATACTGACCCAACTTGTTAAACTTGTTTAATAGGTAACAAAAAAGTGACGCATGTTTTTAAATTATAGAGGCAACATAAAATTTGGCACTAACAAGTTACTGTTAAAATAATCCTTTGCACATTGTTGTCACTGTGGATTGGAGGCATATAATAAGTTCGAACACTGTAGATTAGACTTGCAAATAATATTCCCCCTAGAGCCAAAAGCTTCAAAATGGAGGGCTTACCTAATTTTAAAGGCAGAAAAAAGGGCAAAAGACCAAGCATGGAACCCATCACTAGATGTTGACTTTTGAAATTGCAAGTTTTCCCATCTCTAGATTCGGATTTTGGGATGGAAGAAATATCAAAATCTTGATGAGAAACAGGGAATTTAAAAAAAAAAAAAAAAAAATTCTTGGAATTGTATTTGTAAGAGATGAGCAGACATTTGAGAACTTTTATCTCCATCTTACGTGAGAAAATCAGGTTCTTAGAAAGCATGTTTACCGCAAAGGAAGAGAAAAACCAGAAAAGAAGGGAGACCAATTTAATGAAACGACAAATGTGTGTGTTATATATATATATATATATATTATAAACAAAAGAAGGCTCAGGCTTTGAATCTACTCACTCGGTATTTCTAAATGCAAAGAATAACATTCCAATAGTCATGAATGAGCAGCTTTATCAGCAATGCTGGTACATTTTTTTTTTTTTTTTTGTGTTGTATTAAAATTCTGAAACACAGATTTCATTATAGCAGAAACTAAGGAAAAAAGAAAAAAAAAAAAGTAGGGAGAAAAGTAGAAATCTCTGATAAACTTGTCAATATCACCACTTCAATGCCAGGGTAAAAACATGTTTAAGGGGCAATTTCAAGCCTGGGTTCGAAACAAAAACCAGTAAAGAGCTGAAGTGGGAATCTCTTTGTCACTGGGCACTTCTGTGACCATTTCCATTGTTTGTGATTCATGTCATAGATCAGAAGAGCTGGAGCTCCGTAGCTCTGAATGTATATGAGATCATAAGTACCGCTGCTTGCAAAAACATCATCGAACTCGCCGAATCCTTGGAAAAACTTGTGAGGCATACGAGCAATCTCTTGCCACTCCTTCCCATTCAAAACCCAGATGCCAATCCCCTTGATTATGTCGGGTCGATCTGGTTTGCCGATTCCTCCAACCATTACCAGTTTCTCCTTCAAGTTCATCAATCGGCCACAGGTAAGAGGACAAGGCACAGGAACGAAACTCCTTATCAACAAACCATGAGAAGATCGGGTGGACAGGTTGTATGTGATTAGGCCATGACGGTTTTCTGGTGCCCCGCCTCCGGTGGAGTAAATCAAGAAGTACAGAACCCCACCGCAGATCACACTCTCATCCCCAGCCCTCCATCCCGTCAAAACTTCGGTCAGAGAAGTGACCCACATCGTTGTTTCTGAATCATAGATGTGAATTGAGATGTCCCATTGGAAAAAGTTTCCAGTGACTTGCTTGGACTTCACGATCGAGATGGTGTAACCGAGCGATATCCTGTTTGCTGAGATTGCAAGTGCACTGTAATCAGAAAACCTCAAACCGGGAGGCTCCTCGAGCTTCTTCCAACGTTTTGTGATGGGGTTGCAGACGCATAACTCGCTTCTGCTGTCATTGTCCATTGAACAAACCAAACCGCACGACGAAGCAATGAACCAATTGGGTGCTCGGATGCAGGGAAGTTCGAGACCATACCACTTCCGAAGTATGGGGTCATAGGCATAACCAAGAGCTTCATTAGAGCTCGTAAACATGTAGTACCAAGGCTTTTGAGATAGTACTTGTGAAAAGTTCCATAAAAATTGTTCTGAACTAACAATCTCATGCCATCTTTTACAAACACAACCTGCTCTGAAAATGCTAGCTATGGGAAGATACGCTAGGATCCGTTCTAACAAGTCGTCGGGCAAGATCAAGTCCACAGAAACTGCATTAGCTTCTTTATTACCTTCATCACCAAGCTCCGAGTATGAATCGAGCACCCCAATTTCTCTTGACATCTCATCAAGGCAATGGCTAAACCATGATGTTTCTCCCTCCATGATCAAAGATGAAGCCAAAGAACCTGAAAAGAAGGATAAAACGACATATTTTACTTACCACACACACAAACAAATGATAAAGAACCAAATCACCAGACTCCTATTACCTCAAAACATTTTTCTACACCGCGAAAAATCCTGAGAACACCAGGTCAGGACCAAAACGAGTCAGAACCTGATAGCATATAAGAAATTACGAATTCAGAAATGTCAAGAAGCAGGATTGATAAAAAGTAGAACTTCAGGTTAATAAAGTCCTTTATTTAACAAGGATTAGTTCTTAATCTCTACAGAATCCAAACTTCCAAACAACAAAACACTAGTTTTAGAGTCACCCAAATCAAGATCAACTCAAATTACTTTCAAGCACAAGGTACGGAAAACGATCAAAAGTAAGATTGAAGTACATTATGAGTAAGTCACTAATGTCCAGATACCTCTACACATTTGAACTTAAACAATAGCCCTTCAAAATAATAATAATAAAAAAAAACTATCTATAGTCACGCAGGGAAGGGGAAAAAAATATCATTATAACAAGAACGTACCTTATTTTAATTGAGAAATTATGCTTACAAACAATAGAAATAGTATCAAATTTAGACCATCAATCAAGGAAATGTGAGATTACATGCAAAGAAAGACGCAAAATGAATTCGATTTAAAACGGCTAGCAGCAACATAATAAGTGGCCATTAGAAAATGCAGATTTTTGATAAAAACGTCCAACCACCAGCTCAACATAAAAGGGGAAAGTGCAAAACCGGTGGCTTATTACTACAAAGAGGTAAGAATAATAAAAAAATAAAATACCAAAATGATAACCCAAAAGAAGAGAGTTTTAACTAAAACGTACCGTTTTTAACACAAAAACGGATTTTTTTTTTCTCAAAGAAAGCAACCTTTCACGGCCTTAAACAACAAACCCTAATAGTGATTAGTAGCTAATGAATAATTAAATAATGTTAGGTGGTGAGCGATTAGTCCATGGATACCCATCAATCAAACATCAAAACCCCACAAAACTTGAAAAACAAAAACATTAACCATCTAAACCAATACCAGAAACCCCACAAAACTTGAAAAACAAAAACATTAACCAGCTAAACCAATACCAGAAATTCAGAACAAAACCAGATCAATAGACAATAGTGTGTTAAAAATAAATATTTTTTTTTCTCACGAAGCAAAAAACAGAAAAAAATAAAATAAAAAGAAAATTAGTTCCCCCCATCAAGAACGAACCTTTGTGTTTGTGTAATGCTTCTCCAGTGTCACTGGCCAAATGGGTATGCCCAGATTTGTCCAAAGTCGCCAGATTAACGGCAATGAAGGCCAAAACCGGGGCGAAAAAAATTATCAAAGAAAAAAAAATGGGAATATCAAAGGACTTTGAGACAAACCCTTGACATTAATGGGAAAAAAATATTAAAAAAAAAAAACTAGAGAAAGAAAATGAAATGGGGTATGGTATGAGAAAAAAAATTCCGCTTCAAATGGAAGAGAGAAACATAACATAACGTGGGTCGCTCTTAGATTTGGGTGATATCCATGCCCCAGCAACCCATTGAGGAGAGAGAGAGAGAGAGATTATTTTTTGGGTTTTCTTTTCTTTTTCGTTTTCTATTGATATATATAACAATAAAACGACAGGAAAGAATGAAGTGGGAAGGCGGTTTTCCTATAGGAGATAGAAAGAAGGAGGAGAGAGAGAAGGGAAGGCGCGTGAGGCGCGTGGGTTTAATTGATGTGGTTGATGAATGTGGGAGAGATGGGTTTTGGGCCTTTGAGGTGTTCACTTCACTTCTTATTCAAGCAATTTATGGATTTTTCACTAGCTAAAAAGAAGAAGAAGAAGCAATTTATGGTTTTTTTTATTTACGAGAGGGAAGCGGTAAAAAAAAAAAAACTTTTAAGACAAAATAAATGAGAGAGCTTCTTGTAAAAAAAAAAATAATAATTACTAGTAGTTTCATATTTTCAGTTGTCAGTTCTAATTAAAATTATTAGTTTAAAAAAATTATGCAGAATTAGACAATTTTTTTATATAAATTTAATAATTTAAAATAAAAAATTATTGATAATTTATTTTTTTTAGACCTAATAGATATAAGAAAAAGAAAAAACTTATTAGTTGTCAGTTGTGATTTTGGACACACTCTCAAAAATTATTTTACTTATAATGCTGTCTTACTCACCACTCCTATTTCTAACTTTTTTCCTTTTTGTTTTTTTGTTTTTTTTTTTTGCTTTTATTTTCCTCCCTTGTTTTTTTTCTTTTTTATTACTTGGCCATTTTACCCCTTTTTGTTTTTCCTTCCACCACTTCCTAGTTCCTTCATGCTTTTTTGTCTTTCCATTTCATCCACTATCTCTTTTCCTTTTCTTTTTCTCGGGAATTTGGTATATACTTTGCCAACCATAACAACATTGTCCAAAATACTCAATTGACATGTGGTAATGCTTTTCTTCTTTCTTCTCTTTTTTTTTTTTTTTTTTTCAGAAAATCATCTCCAAATTGCATGCTGGCCTGGGCCTCGTGACCCTTTTAGTTGGTTAGGAGCAGAATGGGCCTGCTTCACCTACAATCTTTGCAATTTGAAAAGCCCCAATAAAGATTCTTGCCTGTAATAATATTAGAATTTTGGATATTTGCATGTCACTAGATTGCTCAGTTCAGCAGCAATTCTTGCATGCTCAACCATCGGGAAATTATGGTTACAAGTCGCAATCTTGGGACGTAACATATTTTTAGAATCGTACTTATTGCTCAGAGCTTAGTGAGTTAGTGGCTTAGGTGAGTTGCTTCATGAAATAATCACTTAATAGTATAATCACTATGGATCCTTAAAATAATATGTATTTGATACAAACTTTATACCTAAAAACAAAATAATGTACAAAAAAAAAAAAGCCGAGCATTTACCAAAGTGTTATTTATCATTATGGTCCTTTTTTTAGGACCTCTTACTGACAGTGTATCATATCAAAATAAAAATTATGTAAAACAAACAATTTCTAATAGTAAATTTGACTACTGAAAATAAAGACACTGATGATTCACTTTTTCATATCCTAGAGAAATCTCCATATCATAAACTTTTCTTTCAATCGACATATATACATGATACCTTGCATATACAAAAAACATGTACTACAAAATGACGTAAATTATGGAAACATCCTTTGAAATTAGTGGACGTGGAAGCATCGCATATAAATGAGCGTTAGCAGAGGGGGGGAAAAACAAGAAAAAGAAAAAGAGATTAAAGACTTAAAAGTGTCTATTTTGGAAGTTAATGAAACATTTATGTTTAGCTAGTGGTATTAAAAATAGATTATTTTCTCCCTCGTTTTTTTTCTCTTCTCCTGTTTTTTCTTTATTCCTTATTTCTTTTTGTTGATAAAGGAAGAAGCGTCTGGAAGATAAAACAAGGGAAGGAACAGATCATATATATATATATACATATATACAAATATATATATATATATATATATATTCAGAGTATATGCAATCCCAATGCTGACCTCTACAAAACAAGCATTAGAAAACATAATGGAAAATTTCTTTAACCTTTTGTTTTGATACAATTGATGCATAATACAACAAAAGTGGTTTAATTATTTGGTGTTTTTGTAGTCATTCTCTCACCAATGCGTGGAACGTGGAACCTCATTACCATATGAATAAACTTTCTGCATGCCATTAAAAAAAAATAAAAAGTAAAAAACTAATTTTTTATAAAGAAAAATAACATAAATGAAAAAGCATAGCTTAAGGGGCAAACCAAAGATCAACGTGTTTGTTGACCTTTGACACCAGAAAGTGTAATGATTTTTTAATTATAATAAAAAAAAAGTGTGATGAAAATATGAACTGAAATAAATATTAATAGAAGTGGCAACACCACTATAGTGAACCTCTTTGCCAGCGAACCACCCTTATGCAGAATAAGTCATGCCTCACTCATAATAGTTTATTGACAAAATCTCACCAAAACATATTCTTGACCAAGTGTTACGTGTTTTGTTTCATTTTTTTGTCTTGTTATGCCTAGATTTTGTTAAGAAAAAATGGCCAAATTCATTGGGATTTTGAAACACTTGACACTTGAGAGCAAAGTAAAGATGGCCAAACATTGAAAGTGATGTTCTCAATTAAAACTATTATACATTCAGGTTTTGAATTGATCTTTCACAGCCATATACTAAAGGTTGGTAGAATTTGGTCAAGTAGCTAGTCTTTTCTTTTCAATTCCATTTTTACTTGATTAATCATTACAAAATTAATTATAGGCCCTTTTTAACCAAGTTTAATCTTTATATTATGCGGTGAATGCTTAAACAAACAGGGAAATTTTTGTGTCCTTGTTTATATATATTTTTTTGTTGCACTAATTTTGTGGTTCCAATACTTTTACAATGTCAGCCACTAGGTAGAACATTCTCAAATATTGCATTCCTTTTTTTTTTTTTTTTCCCGTTCTCGCAATATAGAGACGTTTTTTCCTAATGAAATTTGAATTTTTGACTTTGTTGAGACATTGCCACTTTCATACAACACACATGATTTTTATTTAATTATTTAATTTTTTTTGTTTCTGAAACACACACATGACATGTTGGCTTAAGTTGTTTGGAGTACTTGAGTTACTGGGTTGACTTTATACTTTATAGTTCACTTTACTTGGCCAACTTTCCACTTGAGCCTGTTTTTCTTTTAACACTCCACCAATGCATGAAGTGTAACAACAAAGGGGGGAGAAAAAAGGCACAACAAATGGGTGGAGAAAGTAATGAGTAAAAAGTGACAGTTCATGGATAACTAAAACATAATTGTGAGAGTCTCATGGGTAATTTCTAATGGAGGTGAAAACAATAATAAGTGGCATTTGAGATCCCATGTCAAACCCCCCAAAGTACTCCAAAATGCTCATAGTCTAAGCACAAAATTGTGAGTAGGGAAGAAAAAAAAGGTATGAGTTCCACAATGTTGAAAATGTGCTTGTGCTTTGTGATTGGGAAGAATTTCCATGGTGAGCTTCTTTCTTTTTCTTTTTCTTTTTTTTTTTTTTTTTTTGCCTTTTTCCTATTTCCCGTTCTTTTTGGTATGTCGAGAGTGGACCAAAAGGTTACCTTCAAACAAAATTTGTGGGTTCTTTCAAGTGTACCACACCCACACATTTGATATATAAGATTACCTTTTTCTTCTACTTCCACCCTATTAGTTACCTAATAATAAATGGCTTATAATGACTGTTTGGTTACAAACTTTATGAAAAAGTCTCTGATGGCTTCCAATTATTTCACATATAGGGATTTCATGAAAAAAGTGGAAAGATTGGACCTATTCCTGAACAAGGAAAGAAAGAAGAAGACGAAGAAAGGGGGTGTGAGAAGATCGTTGTTTCACTTTATTTCTCAAGCTTAAAATATGAACCTGAGAGTTTTTTTTTAATAAAGTCTGTTTCTACTGTTAAATATCATTAAAATCACATTAAATTTTAAAAATATATACAGAATATATAATTTTTTATATAAATTTAACAATTAAAAATAAAAAACACCACTAGTCTATATATATATATATTTTTTTTAGATCTACCAGGGAAGCTCCTTATGAAGTTTCAAAGTAAGGAGAAAGTTTACTTTAGCCAATAAGTAACGGAGACGAAGCTGATAAATTGAGACAAAACAAGCTGTCAGTTTTTTGAAATCTTCCACTTTTTTAGTTTGAAGGGGGAAAAAAAGGTGCGGACTATGGAGGATCATAGGCCCCGTTCATTTCGTTGATTCGAGTTTAGAATTCGAGTTTTGCTACAGTAAAAAGCTCTCACAAACAATCACATCTAACTTTTTTACTACAGTAAAAAGCTCTCACATAAAATCACATCTCAACTCAAATTAAAAACTCGAATCAGCGAACTAAACGGGCCCATAATATATAGCTGTCCCTTGTACGATTACTCCTACATATGAAACATAGTGAATTTAAAAAAAAAAAAAAAATAGTAGCCTCGTTCACTTCGTTGATTCAAGTTTAGAATTTGAGTTGAGATGTGATTTTATGTGAGAGCCTTTTACTGTAGTAAAAAAGTTAGATGTGATTGTTTGTAAGAGCTTTTTACTGTAAAAAAACTCGAATCAGCGAAGTGAACGGGGCCAAGTATATAATATGTATCTAAACTACAAAACTCTGGGAATTTGAGAAATATATATAGCTGTCACTTCGCGGATTTGAGTTTTTAATTCAAGTTGAGATGTGATATTTTTTGAGAGCTTTTCATTGTAGCAGAAAAAGTTAGATGTAACATTTTCTGAGAGTTTTTTACTGTAAAAACTTAAAACTGAAAACTCGAATCGGTGAAATAAACGAGGCGTAAATTTATACATATGTTATTTGGTTCTTGCATTTTTTAAATCTAAAATGACCCAAATTGTACTTCAAATATTGTAATACTCATTATTTTTAATGCCTAAATTACTATAAATCAACCTTGTTTAGTGATCAGCGGTCAAAATATCCATGAGACCATGGCATAGTTTTCGTTTGTTTGTCTGTTTTCTTTATTATTATTATTTTTTTGAAGTAAAGTGCAAGCCTTTTGTTTTGTGTATGTGTGTTTGAACTTTCAAAGCTAATAATTTTGATAATTAATTGATTGTTTTAATTGTCCATTAATAAGTAGCTGGCCTCACCTAATCCTATATTATTGGGTTAAAGCACCTAACTATTTCCATAGAGTGTATAGATTCTTCAATCAGAGCCCTAGC